TCGGTGCAGATCATCACATCATTGGCTGATAAAGTGATATTTATATTATTATAAATTACATAAATTATAGTGATAATACAAAACCATGCTTTCAGGAAATTACCAAGCACAGCATAGAGAAGACAACAACATGTTTTCTCTAAAATAAGTAAATACACATTCGAAGAGTCATCTATTGTTTTTGCTGTTAAATAGTTATGTCAGTTAGATTTGGTTGGCTATTCAATCATCCATCTTAGCTTACTTTATGAACCTCGTTTTAAAATATATATATTTTTTTAAATGACCGCTCATTACCTGTTATTAGTATCCACTGAGAACAAATCCAACTGTGTTAAACTAAGAATAATGTTGCTAGTTCATGTTATCCCAGATTGAGATCAAGATGATGGTCAAGATCGAGGATGGATGTGCTTTAAAGGAGACCTGTCATGCAAAATGCACTTTTGTACGTCTTTTATAGATGAATATGTGTCCCCGGTGTGTCAGGGAACTCACCAAGTGTCAGAAAACCCAACCCTCTCTCTTTTCCTCCATACCCAAATCTCTAAAAACGGGGCTGCAACGGATCTGATACAGACTGATACAGATTTGAAAATTCTCTGATGTCAGGAACGAGGAGCTCCGCCTATATGGCCAACTCTCCACCTATCAGGGGAATGAGAGGTTGCCGTGGCATGGTAACAGCATGGTAACATGACGCTCGTGCCTCGCCCCCCTCCTTTGCAGGGGTACAGATAACATATGTGTCCGTGCGGAACAATACCCCAACCCGTAATTCCATGAGTGAATTATGTCAATCATTACACAAGCCCCCCCAGAATTCAACCATGGACACAATCCTCGCGTCCGGGAGGAAGCACCACAGGGGCCGAGGAGGGTGGTGCCGCAGGCGAGGGCCGGGGCCGGGCCAGGGAACGGGCCGTCGGAAGGGGGCCGCAGGAGCGGGCAGGGGCCCCAATGAGGGCGAGGGCATCCCCACCGGGGGGCGGGCCACGGAACGGGTGGTAGGCGTTGTGGCGAATGAAGACAACATCCGCCAACCGTAGAAAGCTGGGTCGCTGTGCTGCGACGTGGGGACGGGCGTGAATATCCCGGTGGTCCCCAGCAGGGAGGAGCGCTGCCCGGCCGCAGGCGAGGGCACAGTGGCGGCGGGCACGAAGTCCTCGGGAGGAAGGAGCGGTATCCCCGGGAGGCAGGAGCAGTATCCCCGGGAGGAAGGAGCAGTATCCCCGGGAAGAAGGAGCCGTGGACAGGGGAGAGGCCAGACGGGGTCCAGAAGTGCCCCACCCAGGCGCCGATGACAGCGTGGGCGACGTCCGAAGCCGCCGTCGAGGCGAACCGTGAGCCGAACCGTGAGCCGAACCGTGAGCCGCGGTTAGAGGAGAGGCCAGACAGGGTCCCGAAGCGCGCCACCCAGGCGCCGATGAAAGCGTGGGCGACGTCCGAAACTGTTGCCGAGGCGAGGGAAGAGGCCAGACAGGGTCCCGAAGCGCGGGCCGATGAAAGCATGGGTAACGTCCGAAACCGTCAAGGCGAGGGGAGACGGGGTCCCGAAGCGCACCACCCAGGCGCCGATGAAAGCATGGGCGACGTCCGAAACCGCCGTCGAGGTGGTGAAACAGTGAGAGTGTCCACACGAGGCCGACCAGACATGGTCGAACCTCCTCTCAGGCACCGGATGAAGCTCAAAAGGGTAGTCCTGTCCACGATCAAAAACAGGTAGGTGAAATTGTGAGAGGATCCACACGAGGTCGACCAGACATGGTAAAACAGTTGGATCAAAATGTGTTGAATTAATTGATTACCTATTGTTTATTTTGAAAGTTTCGACCGGAAACTCCCTCCAGCTCCACGTAAATGGGTCTGTAAAAAAAAAATCGGTCCTGCCGCTGTTACAGTATAAGTAACACCGCCACATCATCAGACACCTTGTAGGCTAGACAAGAAGACAAGCTCGCGCACGACTCACGTGCAAAGGTAAAATGCAGCTGAATAACCGCACGAGGCTGTGGGGAAGGTGCCGCTGCGTGACGGGGCCAGCACCTCAGGGGTAAAACGCCGGCCGCATGTCCCGAAGAAACAGTCCCATGAACAAGAAGTCGGGTTCTTCCGTACCTAGCAGGTCGTGTATCGTCTCCATGTGGTCGGAAGGCTTGCTGTCTCCCAGTGCCGAAACGATGTGGAAATGGCGAGCGTCGTCCTCGGCCATTCCGCGGAGGGCGAACTGAGCCTCAGTCCGTGCGAACGCTGCAGCCCCAGACGTCTCCAAAAATCTCCGGCAGTTTGAGAAAAACTGCGTTTTTTGCCATGTTCGGTTCAGTCTCGGATACTTCTGCGAGACTTATGTCAGGGTCACCAATGTAGTGCCGAGAGACAGGAGTCGGAGCGGAGGCGGTGTAACGAAGGTACAAAGTTGGCTTTATTGAGCAGCAGAAACACACATGTAGTCGGCTCGAAGCCCGGGAAGAGAAGGGGTGGAAAGAAAGGAGGGCACACAGTAGGTACAGATAACATATGTGTCCGTGCAGAACAATATCCCCAACCCGTAGTTCCATGAGTGAATTATGTCAATCACTACAGTACCATGTTTTCACTGCTACTTTGTACCAAGGCAGATTCTCAGAGCCGTACACATGCTGCGTTTTTTGTGTAGCTGTGTCTTTAGTTGTAAAATTATGCGCGCCACAGTTTCCCCGCTGCGAGGCTCCGGCGCCAACAGTTCACGAGCGTGCTCCACTAGCACCCGGATATAAGGCGCTGTTATTAAAGAGGTGGAGGGAGAGTCCTCTCCTGTCAGACTGAGAGGCTGATAACTACAACTCAGTGAGGTAAAGGACTCTGAGTGTTTAGATAGTTAACTTTAGTCTAAGTAGTGGGTCTCAAACGGTTTGGTAATCATTTATGTAAACAAGTATTTCCAAGGCACACCTTTATATGATCATTATAGTTATAAAAAACAAGAAATAACAGGTATGAAATAATTCCAACTCATAGGACAGTAACACAAAAATACAGGTTAAAAGGGTAGTGATTTGTAAAATATGCATAAAGAAAAAGTAAATCTGTTTACAGTTCTGTTTCACATGGGTGTTGTTGAGAGTTGTATACATAGATTTAGTCCCTAATTTTGCTCTCAAAGTGCAGCAGATTGATGCTTTTAACTTAAATATTTAAAAAATCATCTTCCCGGGGGAGCATGCCCCCGGACCCCCAGAGGAGGTGAGGTCAACCACCTGCCCACACCGCCTGTCAAATTGTCCCACCCACATTGAGGATGCTTCCTACGCCCATGGAAAGGAGCTTTATACTCTGGAACACTCTGCCCCTCCATGTGAGGTCGGCCCAGACCCTAGGGTTTTTTAAATCTACACTAAAAACACACTTCTTCTCTCTGGCTTTCTAGTTAGAGCGGAGTACGACTCCTGACTTTTCCTTGTGTTTTATTTTTATTTTTTATATATATCTGTTGTAATTTATTGTCTTTTATTGTGATTGTAGTAATGTGTTTTATTACATATACAGCACTTTGGCTCGACCAAAAATCGCTTTTAAATGTGCTTTATAAATAAAACTTGATTTGATTTGATTTGATACAGTCTATGGAAAGGGGACATTGGCCAACCTCTTGATGCTACATGGTACAATTTGGTGTTGTGGCTGGTGTGATCCAATTGGAAGAGTGTCTCTACTGGGGCTAATTTTGTAGATAGGGTAGGGACACGCACATATCGAACACTTGTTGGGGGGGGATGACAGGGTTAACGATAATGGCATGTTTCAATGTTAGGAGATTCACTAGGAAGATACACTTAGAGCAACAGACAGCATGACAATATGTTGGAAAATAAAATCAACCTTAATCTTGACTGGACAATGGACTGTTTAACTGTATCAGCAAAACTCAACTGAAATGGTTAATTAGTGGCCTTTGTTATGAGTGCTATTTAAAATAAAAACATATCTTTGACAAATGTTCCTGAACTTTTCAATGTCTGGGTGTTTCAAGTAGCTTCATATTGCCAGTTTTAAGAAGCAAAACAATTGACCACTTGTTGTGCGCACAGCATAGACATCCTTTAGTCGCACAGACTCGAACTTTAAACTGTACTTAAATATGTATTATCCACAAACATCGGATCTGTAAAGCGGGGACTTATACACAAACCTAGCTCAAATGCCTTATTTTAGGATGTTACGCGAAGTCCTTGAAGGCAGCACGCTCTCTCTCTTGTCACTACTGTCCTCGGGTCCAGCTCGAGTCTCCGGAGAGTCTGACTGCCGGTGGGGTGTGTCTGCTGGAGATAGAGCTGGAGAGAGTCAGCTGCGTCAAGTGGGCCACAAACAGACAGGAAAAACCGGAAGTTGCATGAGTTTGTCTTTAAAATAAAAGCGCCAAAACACCTGCCACTGCCTTTGCATCTGCAACTAAAGAACCGAATCAGTAATGTTTGTAAAACATAATCATTGAAAAGTTAGAATAAATTGCATTCCCACACGGAACAACACTAGCAAACATAACAAGAGAAAAAACTAAAAGCAATACAGAGAATATAAGCCAGTAAACCTACGTATTCTTCCTCTGCATTGCAACCCATTACAAATAAATGTTTTGGCACACACTTGTTCTTAATTTTACCTCGGTTTGTTAGTCTGCTTACCTCATGTAAACCTTCAATTCTATTTGTTTTTGTTTCTGCTTCAGGTTTTTTTGCAACTGTGCACTTTGTAGTCATTGTTTTATAAAGGTGCTATAATTATTTATTTTTAATTATTATTATCATATTTTATTATTATTATGGTTATTGAAAGAAAAGCAGTGGAATATGCATGAAATGGACATTTTCAATAATTATTTCATTTACTATTATGGTAAAACAGTTGGATCAAAATGTGTTGAATTAATTGATTACCTATTGTTTATTTTGAAAGTTTCGACCGGAAACTCCCTCCAGCTCCACGTAAATGGGTCTGTAAAAAAAAAATCGGTCCTGCCGCTGTTACAGTATAAGTAACACCGCCACATCATCAGACACCTTGTAGGCTAGACAAGAAGACAAGCTCGCGCACGACTCACGTGCAAAGGTAAAATGCAGCTGAATAACCGCACGAGGCTGACGAGTTTGAGGCTGTGTGTTATCTAACATTAGTTAGGGGAGGTCAAACAAAAAGAAGAAGAGCCATGAAGAAACACCTGAGTCCTACAAAACAGGCGCAGCAGCAGCAGAAGCAGCCTCCACCGGCGGATGTTCCCGTGGCTCCCGGCGGCGAGGTTACCGTCCAACAACTCAACGAGCTGCTGTCGAACGGCAGCGGGTGCTACAGCTTACCGACACAACACTTTAACGAGGTGTTCCCCCGGATATACATCGGCAACGCGTGAGTCATTCATCATTTCGTTTCGTTTAGGCTGTCGGTTGACAGGTGAGACAGGTTGTTTTTGTGCTCGAGCCTCAAACACCGAGCAGACGACAACAGTGTCGCATGCACAGCGGGGCGGGCTCGTGCTTCTGGTGTCCTCACTATTATGGAGGGAAGCGACAGCCTGTTGTTGTTTTAACACATTGTTCTGTTGTTCTCGAAATGTCAGCCCCGGCAATGTGCCTCAGCAGCCAGGCAGGTAGATATCGTCTAAGAGTGTAACGTAATTAAAAACATAATCATGTCTCCCTTTGAATAAATAGTCCAGGAATTACATAAAGTCACAAAGAGCTGTTTTTACTCATTGCATCCCTCCATCAATAGTATCTGCCATATGAAACGTCTTCATGGAGCCACTCCCCATTACCCCCAGCTGGGCTGAAACAACATGTTACATCTAAAAGAAAAGAAGGTTTTAATTTTCATTCATAATGGGCTTAGAAAAACAATAACAACAGGCAGTCTCGTGGATTGCTTCAGAACAAAGAGGGACAAAAAAGAGAACGTTAATTTTAGAGTCGTGATGGGAAGTTGATCTCATCAGTGAGTCGTGACACTTACATCGTTTTCAAACATCATAGGCTACACCTTTAACTTAAATACATAATAGAAACAAGTGTCAAACACATTCATCAGAGTATCAGGTATTACACTCAAGAAACAAGTCCTTGAAAAAATATATGTACATACTTTGTGAATAATATAATAAACCTGTTGTCCACCTCGAGCTGACTATCCTTACTCACCACAAGTACATTTGTATTTGTATTTTTCACACTTTTCCCATTTATATAAACAAAAAGATCCATCAGTACTTAAAAGTAGTTGTTAGTGAGTTATTTAAAAAAAAAAAGAAAAATGCTACATCCTTTAATTTATGCTCAAGTACCTCTATCGCAATGTAACATGTGCTGTAAATTGATATTGGAAAAAAAATGTTTAAGTGGCTGCACTTTTATTGTCATAATTGGTTATCATTTTGTGTATTTTCTTGTTTCATCACTTAGTCAGCATATCCTTGAATGGGACGTAATCAAATGTCTTGGTTGTCCAACCAACATTTCAAAATTCAAAATTGATCAAAAATACTGTACGTAAAAACTTTAAAACATTTGTGAACCTAAAACCATGTATTTCAAAAACATCCCTGATTATTTTTCTCTCGACTAATTGAGTAATCAACTTATTGTTGAACCCCAAAACCTGGTAGTTTGTCTTTAACCTGAACAAACATGTTTGATTACTTTTGAAGATGCAGCTCACATTTTCCTGAAGTCCAAAGTCATCAGGCATGTTTCACCTGACCAATGATAAAAACCCAAAAAATACTCAGACTCGGTATAATTCAGGATTAATAAATTGCTGCTATATAATTTAAGTTTAGCTATTTTACCTATATCAAGTCGTGAAAGGGTCTGAGTACACAAACACACACAGTACAGCGTATATTGCATATACTAAATATGGCATGGGGAGAACCGTAAATCCACAGTTGTTGGTTGACTTGATGCTATTGGCTTTGTAATGAACATGCCCAATCTTTAGGAATTTACAGCTCGGTGTTCCAGTAAAACCAGTTCTGGGTACTACTGCACTCTGGGACACTGTGTACAGATTGTGTGGGAGACAGGTATCAAATATTTATTGTACATGTATCAGTTTTGTACATTATCACACACAAAATAAATAGTTTAACAATGAGCATTTTAATGCAACATTGAGTAAATAACACCCTTAAATATAGTAGATTACCCCAAATTGGAAAAAAACTGAAATCATTCAAGGTTTCAAGTGTCACATTTTTCTGAAAGCCAAAACGGAAATATAATTTTCAAATACATTTTGCTGGGCTTTAATGTAATATAGGCTTTTAAAGAGCAGCTCCTCATTTCAACTTATGGATGTACGGCAGATTCAGGGATGCCCCTGAGAAGCGTAGTGTGTCTGGGCCGTCCATCAGTTGGCTCCAGCCCCTGCCAAGAGAGTGGTGGAGGAATACAAGCACATTACTGTACCTCGCTGCTACAACAAAATCAATCTGAATATGCCACTGTGTCCGGGCCAAGTCTCCAAACAAAGTGCTGGCAGCCCGTGTGCTCGACTGATCAGACAGTGCTGTGGGCTGAAAGAGCGGCTCTAATGGGCTTTCAGATTTACGGATGCTTTTGAAGAAGATATTTTGATTCCTGGGGGAAATAAATATGTTCTTTGTAATCATTCAAAGCATTTTACTCACTCTAATCCATGGCTATGTGCAGTATGGTAGGGTCATTAGTCGGAGGTCTTACCGTTAAAGTATATCCAACAAGTGGAAAGGGCAGCAAAATGTAATGTGATATTACAAATGGCTCAGGCAGGGCGAGGTGGTATTGATTGTTGATGAAAGCCTGCACCTCGTCCGCTTTTTCCACCACTGGGAGTCACTAAGCCTTTCTTCTGATGGATCCTGTTTATTAGGTGTATCCTGTTACAAATGTTGCTGGTCGGCAAAATAAGATCAAAACAAACACACTGATTAACACTGTGTGTATATGTTTTATGTGTGTTGTGTGTGGTGTAGTAGTTCACACACTTATTTGATCGCAATGCATGACTCAAATGAGAAAAGATAACTTTGTCCTTGAAAATGTCCATTCTAGTCTCTCATCATGATATCCCCCGTAGGGAATTTGGCTCATGACCTATTTTGGGCCACAATCTATAGTAAAGCAACAACCAGGACACAAATTAAATATAGGATTCATTGTTCCTCTGGCACTTATGCAAATACATTGTAGTTCAGTTAATAATAGGACAGATTGGAATATCATCTCATGACCCATTGTGTTTACGCACATTGTACCTGCTTCAGATTTGAGGTTTTTCTCTACATCATTAAATATTTGTGGTGGCTGATGTAGGGACCCATTACTCATAGTGAAAATGGCTGACCGAGGAAATATTTCTAGAGCCGTTTGAAGTTGCTGAAACTAAGTTTTACTTTTATATTACATAAGTATTACAAACACAACTGTCCAGTGTTGTGGCGTCTGAAAAACAAGATTATCTGGATTGTTTTTAAAGTCTCTCCATTCATGTACCCGTTTTTTTAAAGGGGCCCTATTAGGCTTTTTTTTGGGTTTTCCCTTTATTGTGTGTTTATATAGGTTTTTGTATGTAAATGGTCTCCAAAGGCTGAAATCCCAAAGTTTACACCAGAGGGAGTTTCTCTTCCACACACTCCCCCGAGCCTGAAACACCTCCATTGTACTCCTTTTGTTAACTTCTGCGACATAGTGACATCACTAGTACTTCTATTGGCTAGACCTTCAACACATTGTACATGATGGAGGGCAAGACATCTCTAAGCTGTTGACCAATCACAACAGCGCTTGCCAGCTAACCAATCAGAGCAGACTGGGCTCTGGTTTCAGACAGAGGGTGAAAAGAGGAGCAACAGCACAGGCAGTATGAGAAAAATAAAGACCTTTTTGAACATTAAAGCATGGAGACATGTCAGAGTAGAGGCACTAGATACTAATATGAAACCTGAAAATGAGCATAATATGGCCCCTTTAATGCAGGACCGTTAAAAAAAACAGTTTCATACTCATCAAACCTACGGGAGCAACTGCATTTGTTATATTTGGTAGTCTAGTATCACCCTGCAAGTATACCTACTCTTGAAGATAAAGATAACTAATCTTAAGAACAAAAACAATAGATTATCCTAAAGAGATTATAGAAAAAAAAAAAAACATCTGGGACGGGTAAACTGATTATACAATAACGTTTTTAAAATGATGACCTGTGGGCAATGTAACTTTGAGCCTCTCTTAAATGCGTTAAGAGTGTATTTTCCTGAACTCAAACTCCTTCCACTGGTTTCAGATCAGTCCCAGTCAGCACTATGAAACCTCCGTGTGCAGCTCTGGGACACACTTAAGGTGGGGTTTGTTTGCTTTGAGGAACACTTTGGCTCTTTGTGAAGCGGGTCTTTAATAATTGATGCGTTGGGACTGCAGATCCCAGGGTGGAGGACAGGGCAGGTAAATAGGAAGGAAGCCATTGACTGTGAACTCTGTTGAACCGCAGTGTGTGTGCGTCTTCATTGTGTTGTGTACAGTACATGTGAACAGTCACTTCTTCTTACACACACATAAATGCACATTACTTATGTGGCATTGTAAGTGCTCACACTGTACATGTCAGCATTTACTCAATCATTTATGCACACAAATATGCGGTCATATTTAGAAGGAGTCCTCACATCTGAAGCAATCTCTGCCACTACAAACACAAATGGCTGCTTCATCCCTCCTCATATAGCCGTAAAGAAAAATGGTGGCAGGGAGGATTTTTTTTGTAATTAATTTGTGCAGGAGGAGCTTTGCTGCCACCACCTCTGGGGAGCTGCTCAGGGTCACCTAGCCTCGCCTTACCAGCCTCATATTGACTGTAGATAAAGCAATAAAAGCACACAGCGCTGTCAGGGTCAGCGTGTTACATGAAGATTCATCTCTCTGTGGTATAAGGAATTGTCATGTAAGAAAGAACACACATTTTATTTATTTATCCTCTATTTAGGCAGGGGGACTTTATAATTTACAATTTCTTCATATTACATTGTTTTTGTTTTCAATAAATAAAAACCCATAGGTTATGCAATGGAAATGAAGAACATTACAGTATGACCTTTTAAGAGTCGTAAGCACTAAGCATTTGTAATGTTTATTGGGAAATATAATCCTCATGATAAAAAAAAAAAGACACATGTGGCAAGCACATACAGCAGGGTTTTATCCAAACCGGGTAACAGGGGCGCTGCGCCCTCTTACATACCAAATGCAGATTCTATTCTTCAAAAACAGTTGAATTACTCGAACAATATGAAGATCGTGTCAATCGACCGTCTGACGGCACAGAAAGCTTTATTTTTACAGAGCTACGATGTTGCGTTGTTCTTTATGTCCGCGGCGCCATATTGTATACAGGCGTCATGTTCTCGCTAGAATTGATATATCTTGTATACAAGATCAGCGCCACAGTATTGCCCTCATACTATATTTTTCTTGAAAACCCCTGTACTCTCAAGTTTATTCTACTCTTTAGTCCTCATCTATGTGTCTCTATTAGCTGAACAGTGACAAACACTCTGCAGTTTTTATTTGTTTAAACATAAATTCAGCCCAGCCAATTAGTGACACTAAATGTTCAATAAACTTTAATACAACACATACTAAAGAGGCATTTTATTTAGAATCAATGGGTTGAGCCTGCAGCCAGTTTGGATCGTAGCAGTGGACACAGGCATGGAGCCAGCAGGCGGGGGGGGGGGGGGCAGCCAAAGAGATGAGGCTCTTAAAGATGAGAGGAGGAACACAACTGTACAGTATGTGTATCTGCTGGTGACGCTATAAAGCCATTTATTTCTTTAAATATGTGAAATTATTGGTTTGCCTGCTTACAACAGTCCAATATTCCTCCTCCTGCCTCCATATTTATTGTTGCTATTTCTTTTGGATTGCTCCTCCCTGTATAGCTTTCACGTACTGAAGCATCGGTGTTGCTCTTATAAAGCCACATGAGTGTGTGTGCATCTACTCTAGTAACTCTGTTGGACATTGAACAGGTGTACCCGATCAGATGAATTAGCTCCACTCATTTTATTGACGAATTGTTTTCCCCTCTGATTCTATATCTAATTTCTCGCTCTCAGGTTCGTAGCCCAGAATGCAATGCGCCTGCAGAAACTGGGGGTGACGCACGTCCTCAACCTGGCGGAGGGAACCTCCTTCATGCATGTCAACACCAGTGTGGAATTCTACACGGGCACGGGCATCACGTACCACGGCATCAAGGCCAACGACACGATGCAGTTCAACATCAGTGCCTTCTTTGAGGAGGGGGCTGACTTTATCGACAAGGCGCTAGCACACAATAATGGCAAAGGTGAGTTTGTTCTGATCTTTGATATGTGGCCAGTTTTAATGCTCAGCTTGAGTCACATTTTAATACGGTCTATCTTATGTTACACTTATTGGTCTGTTAATTGGGCAATTGGCTAAATAATAAAAGTGGAACATAATCTTTTTTTTTTATTCTGAAAAAGTATAATTTAATAAAAAATATATAGTATTTGTGTGTATTCTCACAAAGCACCACTCTTGCAGTCTTACTGATAAACTCTAATGATGGTGTTGGGTAAGTCATAATATATAAGTATCACTACATCACAAATGAGCATAAAAACTACAGTTATTCTTCGGATATTATCCTCCATTTGCCAATGCACCTAAACCCCGAAGACAATTGAGAGTGTATGCCTTAACAAAGCCATCAAAGGTAGAGCAGATAAAAGGGGAACACTGTTTCTTCCTTCTCGCTTCAGTAGTTCCCACTTGAAAGTCATTTGTCACCACAAGTTAACACATGAAAACAAGCTCCTCTTTTTGTTCTGCCAACAACGGATACAAGATTTAAACCGTCCTTTAATGAGTTACTCACAGTACGCTTCAATGCTGTGGGTCTTAAAGTGAAAGCAGGAGATAATCATGATGATGGGCTAAATCTGACACACTCCTGAGCCCTGCCCCACATTCCATTATCAGATCATGTCGAAATGATCCATGTATAACACACCTGTACCTCCAAATCGACATTATTGTGTCTTACAGTTGCTAGGCTGAAAAGATTATCGGACACTTTTGGACTGGGTTAAAACTAGGGCTGTGCGATTATGGCAAAAATCATAATCACGATTATTTTGGTCAATAATTGATATCACGATTATTAAATACGATTATTCATTGACTTTGAAAAAATCCATTTATTGAACTTTAAAACAAATACAAATAATAATTTGAACAGTATCTTTTTAACTGTTGATTTCCCTGAACGTATAATTCAACTGAAAAACCAATACAAAAATAAATAAAATAAATGATACATTTAAATAAATAATATCAAAATAATAAATACCAATAAACAAGATCAACAAATATTTTGGAGCGCACTTCCACAAGCTACTAAACATATATAAATATGATAAATACAAATAAATTAGACCAAAATAAATTAGATCAAATATGTTGCACTGCCACAACCTAGCAAAGCTAAATAATTGTTTTATTCGATTATGTTGTTTTCGTAATTGTGGCAGGCCAAAATCGTAATTGCGATTAAAATACGATTAATTGCACAGCCCTAGTTAAAACAATGAAACGGTGTATGGAAAATGGCCAAATGTAAAAGTAATTAGGGAGTTGAGTCTTCTAGGGTATTTGTCCACCTATTGTCCCATTCTTGTATGTCCAACTGACCAATAGGGGCAAAACATGTATTAATTGGTCCAGGATTGACCCACAAAACAGTTTGCAATGTAAAGCTATTGTGCATTTGCATACCATAGATTTATTGTCCAATACAAGTGTTTATTTTTCCCACTGGCAGGCTCAGATTGTTTGTCTGTCAATATTCCGGAAAGGACCTTACAAAGAAATAAAGTGTTTTCTCCTTTCTTTTCAAATGTCTAACCAAGTCTCCCTAAAGGAGAAGTCTCAAGAGGTCCAGGCCTCATCCACATGATGAAAATAAGCCCAATAAATCAATACATGTTAGATAACAGTTAGCTGTGCTTTTCTGTCCTGCAGCACAACACACTCTTCCTGTCAGTCTTCTCAAACTATCAATTACTTTTTAAAACAATGTTTAAGTCATCTCTGGAAAGATAAAATAAGCTTAAATAAGCCATTTGATATTCCCACAAGGTCACATGTGCTACATTTTAGAAAGCGGAATACAAAGACTGAAGAAGTAATCAATCTGCCCTCCCCCTACCAAAAAAAAGCCACAATTACATTTAGTAATTTGTCAGCGCACGTGAGGGATGTGTTTCATTTCGTGTGCTGAACCCTGTATTTTATAACATGAATTTATTGTCGGCCTTGACACAGAATAGCAACTTAATTCCCAGGCAATTTGGCAAAGGTGCACCAACACTGGGTGTAAATCAGAAGGGAAGAGCGACGAGGACTGTGGGGGAGAGCAGAGTGGGGGGGCCTCAGTCGCTCGACAGTGTGCTGTGTGCAACATTATCTTTGACATTTTGTGACCGCACTAGCTGCAAGCTCTGAAAAAGGTCATAGGTTCTGGATTTTAATGAGGCATCAATGCATTATTCTATGTGTCTGCCATAATGAAGACAGGAGGGCACTGTGTGTCATGGTTACAGGCTCACAATGCACACTTTCATCCTAATATTCTAAATAGAAACTAGCAGGAAAAGTATCAGCATATTAAAGCTGCATTGCTTAAATGTTTTTATATTAATAACTGATAAATTGTGGAGTTTTATTTTCCTCTACAGAGCTTTAACGTTAGACGTGAGAAGTCAACAGCATCATTAATGACCTAGGTTTTATTCTCTCTTGTTGTATACAATCAGACAACAAACAATATAATTTTATATTATGAAGTGGGGATAAACTGAAGTTAATTTATTTCATTTGAACACATCAAAAGTTATATTAATCAGAAGTGAACGACATTTTTAATCCGCAAGTAAAAGACATCAGTTGTTTTGTATTTTTAAGAAAGTCAAATTGGACATCTAGCGAGAAGGGCTGTCTCTTTTCCTCAAAGGCAAGTTCAAACGGTAATCGATTAATCAATAAGCCTATTGACAAAAACATTTATATTAACTATTTTGATCATTGATTATTTTATTGCAGTCATTTTTCAGGCTGAAATTGTAAAGCAATTACAAAATGATCAGATATAAGAGAGTATTGTATGGTGAATTTTTCAAAGCATTTGGCATCAACTAAACGATAGACTAAACAATTATCTATGACCTTAAAAACTGCTTGGCCAATAACTGAATATTTAAACAACTGTAGGTAAATCATGTAATTTCGCAATCAACGGTGCAGAACCCAAAATACTTAAACACATTGCTTCAGAAATGCTTTGGTGTGTCTCAGCAGCACAGCTGTCCTCCTTGATTTGTATGTATTAGCTATTTTTGTTAGCTTTAAATGCTATATGGGCAATAGGTTCAGATGATAGGGAATTTAAAAGAGTGCCCTCTACTGGACTACAAGCAAAATGTTGAACTGGAACAGGTCATTACAGTTTGAATATTTGACTTTCCCCCTTATTCAAATTTGAATTAAGAGGTGAAATCCTTACTAGTGAGTAGGGATGCCAGAAACTGACTATGATCAAATTCCAAAATCGGACAGCCCTGGCGAATATTAATCGATTATTCGCCGATTATTTTTATTTTTATTTTCGCAGAGCTTGCATTTTACTTCATTTGCACTTGTCAGTTCGAAGTAGTTCCACGAGGAACTCTTCTTTGTTCATCTTTAGTTGTGTTGTTCTCACTGTTCTGTATATCGCCAATAAATCAATCGCACGTGTGACGGAGAAGGGCGGGGGGGCGGGGTCGGTGTGTAGCAGGCTGCAGCAGGCAGCAGCAGTCTGCACTCTGCGCAGCCTGCGCTGCTGGCTTCCTCCAAGTTTACAGTAAAACAAACTGGTGGTGTGACCAATGGCTATTTACAATTATTAATACTATTACTATTATTAGCATTAGTCTATATTTTGGTTGAAACTAAGCCAGGAAAAAAAAGAAAAACAGAAATAATAATAAAAAAATATATAAATAAAATCGAATTTTAAAAATAATTTTCGATTATGGAGACTGTAACGAATATTCGAAAAATCGAATAATCGCTGGCATCCCTACTAGTGAGTGAGTGATGGAGTGAATAATGATTGAGCCTGAGATCCTGTCCTACATGAGGATACAGTAGAATCCACATTGATCGGTGGCAGGGGACTCAGGGATACGAGGAGATTAAACTACAGAGAGGGGTTATGCCAGGAGAGAGACACAGAGAGGGGTTGCTTTTCAAAGGAAGTGCAGAATCTGCTGATCTGAGCCCAGAACATCAGCTGCTCCGTGGAGCCTGCCAAGCCAGATTTCCTCATGGGGTTCTCGCCTGTCAGTGAAGGAAGTTAAATAGAAACGCATCCTAGAAGGCAAACACAAACAAGTCGTATTTCACACACAGACAAGTACACAGACACGGAAATATAAATGGAGTACAGAAAACATGCAGGTATTCTATTCATACTAAGACACACTCTTTACGCAGTGTGTGTGTGTGTGTGTGTGTGCTGAAGATGATTGACTTTGCCGAGTCTGCAGCAGAGGTCAGGTCTTGTATTTGCATCTCCTGGCACAGAAAATGCTTAGCTAAGCAACTTTGATCTCAGCATATGTTCCCAACCAGTGTTACTGTGCCTTGTTTTTTATGTTAATGTGTTTCTTCTCACTTCCCCCATTTGTTTTCTTCCTTTGTGTCTAAGAGTGAAAACCCTCTATGTTTTTCATACCCCTTAACAACATCTGTGCGGTTCTTTAGGGAAGTGGTGAAATGAAACGTACATTTTCCAAGTTCTGATCACGTGTCCCTTAAAGTGGACCTATCATGCTATATTTGAATAATATAGTGTAGCACCATACCTAAATAAGGCATATTTATACTTTTTCTTTGTTCAAAATACCAAACGGATCATGCATTTTAGCCATGCCTAATTTTGCTCAATTTGACATTTTTTAGCTCTGTTTTTGCAAGGGCAGATTCTGTGAGAACAGCACCATCTACAGGCCTGGCATATGTACTACAGCGTCTCCAGCGCTTTCGAACGGCAATGGCCGTGGCGGTCTCCTGATTGGTGAAGTTGGCCCAATAGCCGTAGCGGCACCGTCCTGACGTCAGGACAGTGTTCAAATCTGGATCAGTTTGTATCAGATCCGTTGCAGCCCCTTTTTTAGAGATTTGGGTATGGAGGAAAATAGAGAGGGTTGTGTTTTCTGACACTTGGTGAGTTCCCTGGAACACCGGGGACACGTATTCATGTATAAAAGATGTACTAAAGTGCATTTGCATGACAGGTCCCCTTTAAGCTAAGTATATATATTTAAACTCCCCTTTAGTTTCGTATAACACTGAGCAGAGAATATTAAGAGGTATTTGTTTGGAACACTGAGATACTGTATATGCCCCCAAAAGAGCGTAATCAAAGTGATGCATCATCGTCAACAGCCACAAAGCTCATTGTTTTTATGTATTAAAATGATATTACATATTGTATATCCTTGTCCACAAACCAATGTTTAATATGTCCTGGTTTTTTTTTCTCCAGAATTATGCACCACTAGGGCTACACATGAGGGAAATATGTGATTATTGCAAAAATGATAAATAAAAAGATATTAAAGTGTACCTAGTTTTTTCCTTTTTGCTGTTTCTAATATACGTTGATGATGATGACATTTTAAAGTGCCGTTTAAGTCAGGGGTTTTCAAAGTGTGGGAAGGTGAGCCTCCCCTCAGAGAACATAAGAACAGCCGCGCCCCCCCCCCCTCCCAATTATTATTGCTATTATTATTATTATTATTATTATTATTATTATTGTTGTTGTTGCTATAATGCAGGGGTATTCAATTGCATTTCAAAGAGGTCCAGTAAGAGAAAATGTCATTAAATGCTCTGTTTTCGCTGTCTAGCTTTCTCTTTTTTGAGCACGCCATTTGAAATGAGTCCGACTGTTTCTCTCTTCTTGTCTCGTCTCTGTGTTTGAATCTATCGTGCTGACTCACTGACTGCACCGCTCGTGAACTGTCAACGGGGAAGCCTCGTGAACTGTCAACGGGGGGGGGGGGAAGCCCCGCTGAACGGACCTCTGTTGCCTGTCAGCGCAACTTAAATGATGCCGTTTAAAAACATAAAAAATAAAGGGCGGTGCCGGCCGTCAGCTTACCGAGCCGGCCGTCACCGGCCCGCTGACGACCGGCTGTTCTGTGATTCTCTAGAACACACAGATGGCCAGTCCGCCCCTGGGTGGAGGTGAAGGGAATGAGCACTTTTACAGCCTTTTGGCGAGGTGGGGGAACTCGGTCTCCACAGACAGCCAAAAGTGTGCAAGTGACACTTTACTCGTCTTTTTCTCGTTATTTTTTTCTCACGCTGCGCCTCCCCTGAAGCTCTCTGGTGCCCCCCCCCCCCCAGGGAGGCGCGCCTCACACTTTGAAAACCGCTGATTTAAGTAGTTAGGTTTCAACTAACAAAATAATACCTTAATTGCAATATCTTAGTCTTGAGCAATGAGTTTTTCCAGCAAGTTGGCTTTGCAATAAAAAAACGAAAGTGCAGCGCCAACATGTACAGTATCTGATTGTACCATTCTCCATGTATATCCTCCAGGGAAGGTGTACGTACACTGCAGAGAAGGCTACAGCCGCTCCCCCACCATGGTGGTGGCTTACCTCATGCTGCGCCACAGGATGGATGCCCGGCTGGCGGTGGCCACCGTGAGGCAGAAGAGAGAGATCGGCCCTAACGACGGCTTCCTGCGCCAACTGTGCCAACTCAACGAGAAGCTGGCAAAGGAGGGCAAGCTGAACGGGGAGGTGGGGCAAACTAAAGACCAAATGAAAAGCCTCCCATCATGCCTTTCACAGGCTTCCAGCCACTCTGGGAGTCTTACCCCACCCTGACCAAACCAGCACCCATCCGACACCAAGGGGTATTCCATACACAAACATACATGCATTTATCTGTGTAGACAACTATTCCTCACACACACACACACACTGTTTTTTATCTTCAGTTCACGTCTGCCGCTGCTGCTCTGTAAGAGGACATCCGTCAAATCTTCTGCCTGCTCCTACAAAGAGTGTGATCTTAAATACTTCCTCTTTCCAAAACACACACACACCGCTCCACACTTGCAGATCTCTCGCTGCATAAAGTGGTGACTTAAAGCATTCCTTCAATCCCCACAAGTTTGCCCTGATTTTTAAGATTTCCGTAATAAAAAGTAAGATTATAGCACAATCATTCCATAGTTTTCCACTGCCGGGAATGTCAGTGTTGTTTCCAACAGCAGGAGTATTCTGAAAATTCCAAACAAACTTTTAGATATCAAATGGCCACACATGATGCAGATAAAATAGGTCAGAAAGCGATGTGTGAATAGATGGAGGGAAAATCCCAAACATTCCAAGCCCCTCCACAGTTTTTACCCCTGAAATGATCTTCTTCCTTGAAGGACAGATATTTAATGCACAAACACAAATGATTCACACTCTAATGCAAGCTGTAGCTCTGTGTAACATTCCACTCGGCATCCTGGACTCTCGGCCTCTAGTTTGACAGCGGTAGCGATACATCTGACACATTCTGTATCCCAGAGGCTCGCAGCAAGGACAGCAAAGGTCGAGCTTATTAAAAATAACGAGCTGCTGCGTGGGTTGCTCATGTAGCGGCCATATTTCCAGTTGCTTTTTAAGTGACATTATTTTAGTTTGTCATTGAGCTCAACGAGCCTGCACTCGAGGCAAATCACATTCAGGCAAGCGAGTACTGGGAGCTCTATCCTCTAACATTCACAGAGGTCATCTACAGTATTTCAGTTCTAAAGTGGCTTGTTTACAATTACATATATATCATATGACGTTATATTATTTTCCTGTAGAGCAGGACTGCATGACAAAAACTTCCTTTATCGGGATTACATTTATAGTTTGACATCCCTACAGTGATTGTGTTTTGGGTTATCAAAACGCAGATGACCAAAACGTACAATATAGACAGTATTTGTTGCCTTTAACTTAGACAACACTCAAGTTAACCAGCTAATATAAATACGCTTTTCACACACGTGTTGTGAAGACCTCCAAAAACATTAAAAGTCCTGAACAACAGGAGCACTGTTTAATTTATTTTACCTATCCTCTTTTTTCATTTAAATACTTTGATTTATTGCAGGTGAGGTAATGCTTTTGTTGTCTGCATTATATATTTTTGTCTTGCATTGTCAGCATCTTATCTTTATATTTTTGCCTTCTATCCACATTAAGCAGGTGTTTTCGTACTTGAAAAAATTAGCCGTTATGAAACAATGACGTAAGCGTGATCACTCATTTTAAATCCAATCACATAGCAGAGCTGTTAAGCGCTGCAGCTAACACATATTTGGTGTGGTCAGTTGTTTTTAAGATTCCCAACTTGCCCACATTACCTACGCTACACTTACAGACTAGTAGCTTAAAGGGGTTAAAGGCAGACTTCACCAGGTTTACCAATTTCAAACTAGAGGCCTTTAGTTTGGAGATGCCTCCCACTAACTCTTCTAACAGAGCGGTCCAGTCATCACGCCACAGAGTTGTCCACTGCCATACGGTCAGCACCACTGTTTCATCCACACAGTCTGTCAGAGGCCCATTCACAACATGGCTCACTCCTACATGTGTGTGTTAATTATGCCTGACTTTACACCCACACACCGGGTCCAATTACAATGTTTTGTTTGTATGTACTTCAGCATTGCAATATATGTCAATACCCTCATCAGATATATAGAATGTAATCACATCTAAATATGACTATTCAGGCTCTAGTTGTTACATATAGGCAACAGTAGTTCTACAATACACCTTAAAAGTATTTATTACTTGGCATAATACTGTAAACTAAACCTAGTGCCAGGGAGGACGGAGATGGGGTGTCTTTAAAGGAATATTTATCCCACTAAAATGAACATTTGTGTATCGATTACCCATGCTGTGTTACCTTGAAGAAAACTTTTTCTTACCTCGATGGTAACAACAATTAAAAAAACGTTATAGATGACATTTAACAACAGCAAAATGATATTGAAACATACAATTATATACGCTCACTCTTTACCGTAAAATTATTTTAAAAACCGCTTGCGTAAACATTCTCATGCTAGCGCAGTCGCGTTACTTGTCTGTGCAAGTCGGGTCAAAAGTGTTTTAAATAGTATGTTTTTTTTGTTTTTTAAGATTAATATTTTGGGGGCTTTTTTACCCTTCCAAAAGATTGGAAAGGGGGTTGGGGGGTAGCATTTTCAGCAAAATGCCATGGGTTGGATTTGAACCCGACTTGCTGTTCTTCTTCCCCTTTTTACCTTTGGGGAAAATGCAATTAGATGTAGTGCGCATACAACTGAGTAACAGAGACTTGGATTTACTGCACAAGTTTTACGAGATAACATTTTTTAAGTTTTGCTGTTATTAAACTCATCCTCATTTTCTTTAAAATACATTAAAAAAACCTAACCATAACAAAAGAAAACACAGTTTTCTTCAAGAATACAACCTAACCCAAGAAGAGTAATTTCTATATAAATGATCATTTTAAGGTGTAAAGAATTCCTTCTAAACCCCCACTCCACGGAGCTGTTTTTCGAGGTGGACTCCCATCAAAGTGCAGGGGTTTGAGCTGGATGAGCACCAGCATCCCTCCAGAGTTCCGACTCTTTGTCCCACACATCATAATCCTCCTGAACAAACGGCCTCGGGGCATGTTCGCATGAATCCAGGGGCATAGTCGTCTCACTAGAGAGGAGAATGGAAACTAGGTTGTCTCACCTCATTAATGGCACTATTTATTCCTCCTTTGATATATCTGTATACATATGAATATATACATGTATACTGTATATACATATTTAAGTGTTGACATATATGAATGTATGAGCAATGTGTCTATTAACGTGTAGGTATCGTCAGTATGTCTTTATATATCATGTTATATTTGTATATGGTGCATCGAGGAATCCATCGGTTACATGTACATTCATATTGAAATGTAATGTACATGTAAACTGTTGTCTTTGTGATTGTGACGTTTCATAATTGTGCAAAAGTTGCTTATGATCAGCAGGGTTTACCAAGCTGGGATACTGAGGCATGTGATCATCCTGTTTGATAATGTTTCGTACAGTTTTTAAGTTTTCATGGTAGTTTATTCATAGTATACAGCAAGATGCAGGTGGCAGCATAAGATGGATACGAATTGTCCTCCATATGGCCGCACACGTCATCATGTCAAAGGATACACTCATCCCATCAAAAACATTTACAGCTAAATGTTATGTGATGATCTATATTTGAGTTTCCAGATACACTTTCCTTTTCAATGCAATGTTTTCAGCAGCAAAACAACTATCCTTCAACAGGCTGCAGAATCCTAGTAAAGAGAAACATCCAGTATGTGTTGTGAGATTTCATAATGAAAGAACTAATGTAGTTTTTGTGCAAAAAATTAAATAAGACTATATTGTTGTTATTATTATTGTAAGTCAGTTGCATATAAGCCGTATTTCAAGTCAGTTTTATACTGTGCAAACTACAGGAGAGTAATGCAACGGCAGTGGATAAATAAGACCTGCAGACTTGTTGCTGCTACATACTTGCGCCACCTCCAAATATTTGGGTTTGGTAATGTAACCTTTGAAGACATCACATTTGGCTTTGGGAATAATGATTTCACTTTTACATTGGGGAAGAAATACTCCAGACTGAAATTAAAATACAACCAGTGTGGTAAAATAGCAATCTAATTTAATAAAATCCAATCTTTGAATCCAATTTCAAAACATGCATTGAAATGTCAAGTGTTTCTTTAGCCTTTGCTCATTATAGGATTAAAGATCATGTTTGAATCAAATATTATCACAGGAAGTTAGAAATGAGGTGCTGGTTGTTTTTTTCCTTTAGTCATCTCATGTACTTGAAAATGTTTCAAAATGTTAAAGCAACGCACCCAATATGACATATCTTGCAAGCCCTCTTTCCTGTTGTGTGTCTAGCAAGATGAATCGGGTGCAGTGGCTCCAATTTGAGACCATTTTCAAGTCAAAATGTCTTTCACTTCATTTTCCTACCGCCTTGTCATGAACCCCAAACCATACAGCAGTGAAGATAGATTGAAGATACAACAAAAACAGAGAAACACTAACCTCACACAAAAACATTAAACACCAAGATTGTCTTGTGCCAAGTGGCCTACTGTACAAAATACAGTCAATGTTTATGATTGGCTTTTTAAATGTCATTCCAATGGACTGGGGTTTCACTCACCAATTTTCACATCTGCTCTACAATACTGCCCTCCTTCTGAATTCACAAAAGCAACAACTAGTTAGGATTTCTGGAGTTTTACATAACAACAAATTGAGAATGATTGCCCTAAACTCGGTCCAGGATGAGGGTATGTACTTTATAGCGTCATAACTCCCGAGATAGGGTCTAATAAACACTAGCCAAACTAGCCATGGTAGATGTTTTCCGATGCATTTTGTAGCCACTATTTATAGAAGAAAAAATCCTCCTTTTTGGACGAAGAAAAGGTGCAAAAAAGTTTTCCTAAAAGGAAAGCGTCTATGATGGCTACACCGCTGGTTTTACACTTTTTATGCGTAACAGATATACACTGCCACCTGCTGTTCAACAAATGTTGTTATTTTTAGCATTAGTCGTCCGATCTTTTTTAATGTCTTTAATGTGAAACTCTGTTATGTCCAGACTTCCTGTGTTTTGTTTAACAAGGTACCAGCATAGTTTTGTGGGTAATACTCCAGGTACAGTACTAAATGTATTATCGAGAATGTCCAATGTGAAATGCCATTGATGTATTTTGTTATATATACTGAGTATGTATCACGCACTAAGGCAATTGTGAATTGCTGCATTTTACGGTCTTAACCGGCCGACTATATAGATAGGACTTTGTATGCTGTTGAATCTAGTGAGCTGAAATTGCAAATGATATGACTTCTTTCACCTTTTTAAATTGTTTTCATTTATTTAGATTTGTCCTGTTACAAGAATGTAAGTTGATTATAGTTTAATTACATGTTCCCTGCTAAAATAGACTTGTTTTGGTACAGTAGGATTGTGACCTACTTCTATTGTCTTAAGCTTAACACAGTACGTCATTATCTGTTTTTCTTTTCTTTCGGATGAGTCACCTATAATGGTACCTGGACCAGATGGTAATTGTAATTCATTCATGGTGCTTGCCTGGAAACCAGAAAGAGAGGAGGATTAAATCACTCAGAGAGAGCCAGGTAGTTTTTTTTATCACAGTAAAGAACACTAAATTGACTTTGAGTTGAATGCGCAGTCCCATGTGGCGTATCTCAGCCATCTGTGCTGAAGTAAGCAAAAACCTGAGATGTTTAAACCCTCTGTGACTGACTGTCAATATTTTACATCATGGAAAGTTATCTGGCTGAACTTATCTGAATTGTGCATGATGCAATAAACTCCATCCGATCTGGTACTCTTGGGAGCGCTCAAACAAACACCGGAAATGACTTACAAATACTGTTTGGCCCAGGTGAAGTGCAGAGCTGCCATGTCCTTCTTCTTGCTCCCATTCTTAAAAAATAAGAATTGTTTTAGCACAATGAGCCCACTGCCTGACTCCACCCGGAGTCCATGACACAGTCCACGTCTTATCTCTTCACGTTTCTGTTGGTGTACAGATGTCTCGGAGGATTATGTTGTGATTTTGGATCAGCTGTTCAATGGGTATTCCACATGTATATTTGTCACCGCCACTGACATCTCAATGAACACAGCACCCCACCTAAAGCCTTACAGTAAAGATTGATTCTTTAGACTGTTTTTAAGTTTGTGTATCTTACTTCACACAGCAGGAAGGGACGGCTCCCTTACAGGATGAGACATGCACTTGATTTTAAATTGCAATGTTGAGTTTTCTTACCTTGAAGAAGTCCCTTCTTTCTTATGTTTAAGAAATAAATGGCTGAGGTACTAACATCTGATCATGACTGGCCTCTTTTTGACTACCAAGGTGTATGGTTTTGGTTATATTGGGTGTATACAGTATAAATACATTCTCAGTGTTTTCCATTTCATACAGAGCATGGAAACAAATCAGTTATACTGTTCTGTAAAACAAAGTTTAAATTAGAGCTGCTTCAGAATTGTTATACTTTTTACTTTTCTTTCTAACTTTCTCAATTCACCATACTACTCCGTATATATCTTCTTAAGACATGAATCTTACAAAATAACGTTGAAAGATTTAGGCTAAGGCTATAATTTATTTTTTTAAAAGACTAAGTAATTGAGAGGTAGTGCTTTTGTCGTTTCCAATGGCGGATATTCCAGTATCCGTTTAAACTAGTGGAGCAAATTAAAAAGTGGTAGACTATGATACAAAAATATAGCAAGCAAAGTGCCAACACAAGTATGTGCTTGAATATATATCGAGTGGGTGAAATCTAACAAAGTAACTTGCATTTACATAATTTTGTACATTATTCTTATATCACTTACAGTACATACTTTAACTGGTTTTGAATGCAGTATTTGTAATGGAATTTTTACATAGTGTGATATTTTTATTAAAGATTTGAGTATTCCACAGCTGAGTAATTGTTAAAAGCCTTAAAGGTCCCATGTCATGCTTTTCCGGTTATTACCCGTCCCCTTGTGTGTTATGAAGCTTTTTCTGCATGTAAACGGTCTGCAGAGTCACAAACCCTCAAAGTACACCCTGTAGCGAGTAAAACTCTAACACAGAAAAGACCTGTCTATGCTGCCCCAGAACGCCTCGTTGGAGATTTCTCTTTTTCTTCCTGGGTACAGTGACGTGCCCATACCCAAATGGACCAATCCGTGGAGTTGTTACGTTACGTCCACGGAGCCGTTAGGTTAAGTCCGTGGATTGGTCCAAATGGACCAATCCGCGAACTTCCTCACACACACACACACTCAATCTTTTCTCAGCTGCAGCTCTGCCGATTTCTCCTCCCTGAGACGGCGGGACGCGGCGAGGCTGTGAGTCGGTGTGTGAGCACAAACTCCCAGCCAGGCTGCGGGTGTGTCTGTGTGTTCGGGCTGGTTTCGGGCTGGATTTTGCTGTGTCTCGCTGTCTCGCAGACGGCCACTGGGCTCATAGGGAGGGGGGGGCAGGAGCTCCAACAAGCCGTTTAGGACAGAGAGTGAATACACATACTATACAGAGATGCTGTATGAGAAACCAATTTGATTTTGTAAAATTGCACAATATAATTCTATTTTAGTATACCTCAACAATGGAATTATGATCAGTAGAAATGGCCATGACATGGGACCTTCAAAGCCAGTTGCTGCTGCACAACTTCACCACTAGGTGGAGGCAAACCGCTGTTCAAACACACATTGAAACACAGCAGTGAAGATAAAATGACAGAAGTAGAGCAACTGAGAGAAAGCTAGAAAGTGATAGGGGAAATGATAATAAGAGTGGGAATAAGTTCACTAAAAGAGAAATCCTTCCAAGTTTCCAGCCGTTGAAGCAAATGCTATTTTATGTTTCACAAGACTGGAGCACACCTGGGATGGACTCTTTGCACAGCAGGGTTGCTGAGGAGGATAACTCTCTACCTCCTGCACCGCCTCTTTCCTCCACGCTCGCTTGCACAAGCAATTATTACAGAGCAGCTGTGGGGTCCCTTAGGGCCCCCTGTAAACCAGGGACCGCCTCCTCTGGCTGAATTCAAACCATCAAGTGTAGAACTTCAACAAGAAACCAACCACTTGTATTCCTTTATAACAGGAGTGTCCAAACTTTCTTCACCGAGGGCCACATACAGACAAATATACGAAGGGCTGGGCCCTGAGGTGTATTGCCTCATAAGTTCAGTTATAAGTTAGCTAAATCAATCAAATGTAGGTAAATAATGCTAGTGAGTGTTGGCAGCTCATCCCTTAACCTGTTAAGCCCTGAGCCTGTTTTTCAGGTCTCAGGCTCGAAAATGACATTCCCAGAACAAATGACTATATCTTCCCTTCTAAAAGGGGTACATTTTTCATAATCTTTTTTCTCAAAGCAAGGTTACATTTGTGAGTTGGATGTAGAAGTGTCAGAATCAATATAGATGTTTTTATTTTAAAGTAAATTCAGATTGAACACAGTAAAAAAAATTAAATTATAGTGTCCGTCCAAAAAAAAAAAGATTACTTCTAGTGAAAACCACCCTTGAATGATGGGATGGTGGATTAAAAGTTTTAGGAATCCAAACTATAACATATAATAAGTACCCTGTATCAAGATTGATACAAAACAAGTGAAAAAAAACCCACTTCTGGGGTCATTTGGGTGGATTTGACCTATCTCTGGCCCCCCTTGGTCGATTTTGATGATTGACATCTCTTTTTAACCGCTAGAGCCAATGGAATCGAGGGGAAGTTCCACATACACACACACGTTACCAAATAAGGAGTGAGAGTAACGCGTAGCCAAAACCGGAAGCTGCGATACACTCTGGTGGCTACCATTAGCAGCTAATTTTAATTCTCCAATTTTTACATAAAAATGGAATTATGGATTATCAATAATTTTTTTTATCAAAGTGACAGACACATTGGATTAACCTATGGATTAACCTTCAGCTGCGTTTCTATTGTTTTAATGCCATTGAACACGACTTTTGATCAGAATAACAGCTAAGGTGAGACGATCTCCCGTGTTTGCTCCGTAATGCTACGTGTTGTGATGTCTGTGTTTGCTTCCCCTGTCACAAGTTCTGATCGCTCAGTGATGATACTAATACCTATATAATCTGTGGAATCTCATCTTTAATCGGATATCTTGTATGTGCACTTACGATAAGTAATAAGGGTATCTTTACCTTGAGTTCTGTGCCAAGTGTGTTAGCATTTTTTCGCTCAGGGGTCATTTAGACGCTTCTTATGAGACTTGTGTTTTGTTTTGGTAAAAATGGTTCGTATCGTCAGTTAGCTGGGTTTCTTCCCGTTAATCTGGTATGACACATTAATAGGTTTTTAAATATTAAGAAGCCCTGAGACACAGTTTTGTGAAGAAAAAAAACCTGCAGCCCCCTCCACTGGGGGCTCTCGGGCTAAACAGGTTAAAACAGAAGCCTCAGATTGATTATAATAAGGAGAAATAGGAAGGGTGTATTTCAAGCTTGTTATGTAAATAAGTTATTGGTTTTTTTTTCTTATCAACTAAGATATGTTATAAAATGTTTCCAACTTTAATTGACTGAATTTATTTGAAAAGTGGTTTTATTAACACATGAATACTACTGTGTAATATCATTTTACATTTATATTTAAGAAGTACAATATAAAACAAGTACAAGTTTCATTGGTGGGCCATATTCCATTATACTTTTAGAATTTGCCGAGGGCCGATGGCTTGGACACCCCTGCTTTATAAACTAAGAAATGGCAGACTGTAAAAAAAAAATAGAGGAGAATTTTTTTTTAAAAGCCCGTTTCTCCTCATTCAGAGTGTCTGATGGGGAAATGTGCCAGGTACAACATTCACCAGGGAGAATTCCAGGGGGCAGGAAGTAGCCAGAGTAAAATGGAGGGATTATGTGTTGCAGCAGGTTATAGGTCCCTCTCTGCTGCTTACTTGAAGGAATCCAGGATGCTCGTTTCCGAAATCTCATCAATAACAGCACTGGTCTCCGTGTGATGAAGTGCTATTTATGCCAGCTATGTGCAGCAGCATTTATTTTTTGGGAACTGTTTATAGCTAGAGCCGGAATCTAGAGGAGTTCCTGTGTTCAGTCAGGTTTGCTGGTGACACTTTTAAATTAGAGACTCAGAGGAAGGATACTTTGGTTTCAGATTTTTTCTTAAAAAGTTGTGTTTTAGCTGAAATCTCACATCTGTCTTTTCTCCTGCATGTGCACTGAATCATTGTCTTGTTAATACTCATTCTTAAAGTCACTCATCAGATTGAATGATTTGGGTGGAAGCTCATGTTTGATACTTGTTTATGGGGGAAATGATTCATTTGTGAGAAACAGGACGTCCAATCAGTTGCAGATATTTTCCTAGAATCTTTCTCCTATAATCCTACTGAAATAAAAATGATCAGCCGCCTTTGAACATTTTACTGCCAGTTGACTCATTCATCCCGTTTCCCTACGGCTTCGTAAAGTCAAGTACTGTAAGTTGATTTTCAAACTTAGAAGTTTTCTTGCATTTTTCTCCTCTTAAACCCCATATGTTTGGGTTCATCATACTACTTAAATATGATTGCGGTCCTTAAATACACTTTCTTTTAATTCCCCACAGCTTTTTTTCCTAATATGGACCCCTCAGCTTTCATCTTAGTCCTCAATTGTAATGGCTGTATGAAATAGAAAGCATATGATGCTCTCTTTTAAATCTTCATCCCAACATCCCACTCTGAACACAGTCAGAGGATTGAGAGGCAGCAGGGTAGGGAAAGAAAAATGCACATCTGTGGCGCAGCGCTAATTATTAGGGAATATTTAGGGGGGGAATGGGGGAGAAAAAGAGAATGGGCTTTGGAGCTGAGCCATCCTCAGATCCTCTTCCAAGCGCCTGTGCCCGTGGTGGTGTTGCTTGTTTCATCTCCGTCTCTCAAGTGTGGTTTTATTGCACTTGCTGTGCTGATTGTGGATCCTGCGAGTCAAGTGTTTATACATCAAACCACACTGATATAAAGATGGAGCTGCAAGGCCTAACAAAAGACACGTTAACAACTACTTTGACAGGAATCTGTGTCTCTTTTAATTACTTTGTAGCTTGATTTGTAGCCATAATGGGTGGCTGTATAAATGCTTTGTAATGATGATTAAAAAATGTGCGTTGGGTGTTCTGAGAGAACGCCTGCACCTCTTCATGGCTCTGTTTTTATGCTTTGCAAAATGAGGCTTGCTATTGGAGACTTTGCTGAAACACAGGCCATTTTCAGAGATAAACATGCATCCCTTCAAATGCTGATTCATCATTCGAAAATCCTGCTGAAAAAGTTGCTATTCCACATGTTTGT